GTGGTTTGATAAAATAAAGGTGAATGGTGCTCATCTTTGAGGAACTAAACAAAACATAAATGAGCGTAATGTGATACATGGTTTACAATAGTATATCAAAAATCTACCACAACCTGCAGAATATTAAATTTTGTTACAGATGCTTATAGCTTATAGTTACGCCTATTTGTTGTTCTTCATTAGGTGAAAAATATGAAATAAGCCAGTTTTAAATATTTATTATTATTGTCAGAAAGGGGCAACACATACATTTAAAAAATAACAAATCATTTCTTTTACTTTATTTAGTAATACATTTTTATAGTTTATTATCATCATCTTTATTGTTATTCGTGTTTCACGACTGTGATAACTTCCTCATTAAAAATTCTATGACTACAATTTTCCATTCCATTAATCAATTACTCATCCTTGAATTTAAAATATCAGAAGGTGAATGTTGGCTTGAAACATGAGACGCATGTATCATTCTAAACATGAAGCAAAGTCGTGACTCTCTCGTATGGTTGCATGTCATGCACGTAATGCAAAAAACTTTTCAAAAAGGATATGGTCAAATACTGAACATTTGGCAAAATTTGAGGATTCATGACATCTTTAAGACAACAAACTCCCCAACAAAGAAAAAAAAAAAACTTCAACTATGCAGAATACTTACATATATAGAACAGAACTCCTGTGAATTACATACAGCAATTTTTAAAATCTTTTCTCTGACAACTTGACAACTGTAGATGTTGTAAAAACTTAATATTTTAACCTTGTCACAAACAATTTTAAACATATTTTTGATGACTCTAAACATGCAGACTCTTAGAGTTGGATTAATTCATAGTTAAAACAGATAAAAATGTTGACAGATATTTCATCTTCATTAAAAATATTCCAACAAATGGTATGTATAATCTGGGTGCCAATTTTTACACCCTACTAAATGTTATAATTATATTTTCATGAAGCCACGTGTGCGAGTGCAATTTTTTTCATCAAAATTAAATGAATCTCATGGTAAAACTTCAAGATAAAGAAGATACCACAGGGATATGTCTGCAGTGAAATAATCCCACAATTAATTTTCTACCAGGTACACAAGTAAGTAGATATCTCAATGAGGTGTGCTCTGGGAGCTCCACAGAGGTCAGAGGTCAAGGTAAATGACCATTCCTCAAAAGGTCATCACAGCCATTAAGATATTAATAATACACACTATGAGGGTCTCTCAAATGGCATCTCCATTTTTCATCACCATCAAAGCATGGTATGACATGTCATGATATGTTTTCAATCCACTTATTTCTACAGCTACTTTATCCATATCATCTAATTAGGTTCAAGTACCATAGAGCTCATTTCTCGTTTTTTCCCCTCACTGCCAACCTCTGTTCCCCTAGGGTAGGGAATAACCCCCTTAATCACCAATCACCGAGAATTAAAACAGCTCAATCACCAATAACAAAAAATATATTCAGGTCAATCACCAAGAATTCCTGAATCACATTTCATGCAGAATATTTGGCTCAAATAACACATCACGCTCGAAAAATAAGGCCAATCACGCGGAACGCAAAATGTTTTCCCTAACCTCTTCTCCCCCCCTCCCTCTAATGTACAGAAAGCAAATTATAAGTAAGACTAGTTCAAACTCCTCTGTGCAGTGTTTCTAACAACCTCCAGGTATATATGATGATCAAAACCATTCTTAATTATATAACAAGCTACAAATGTGCCTCCTGTCTGTGTTTTTTTTTCCTGCCACATTCGAGCTGACCTCTGTCTCTCTCTGGCAGACTGCAGATAAAATTCTTGCATAATTCTGTTATTTTGAGATGGCTGTTTAAGGTGCAAGAGTGAGCAGAGTCCCACACAGTTGGAGGTAGTAGTGAGAAGTTGGCCAGAAGTTACATTTACACAGAAAAAGAAGACAACAGTCGTAATACAGATAATGCTATGTTTTTTGTAAACACATCTTGTGTAAAAATGCTTGCCAAAACTTGCTAAATAAAATAGGAGCTACTGGTGGTGCATAGTTATAATAATAATAAGTGTTTAAAAGATGAAAAAAAGGCAATTTATTCTTCCTTTTAATATCAGCTATACAGTACATTTTTAAATATATACTTTTGATTCTTCTCTTCAGCTAAAATAGAAAAACCAGGTGGTAAATTGCTATCTTAATTAATTCAAGTTGAACAGCTTGGTGGTCTTTTAAATTTATTTATAGTACATGGTGCAAAAAGACAGAGGAAAAAAAAAGTTACCCATGGGTTGGTCTTTTATTTTATCTTACACAAATAAACAATAGGCAGCAACGAAAGTTAACAAAATAAAATCAACCAATTGTCTTGTTTAACATCCTCTGATATTCAGACAAACACCTTACATCAGTTTTTCAGTCACATAAATTGCCATTGCTGATTAATTTTACCTGAAACTTACTATTCGTATCTGCTGGTACAATTAATCCATCTCTTCATAATCCACCCAGCAAGTTCATATTTCCTTACCTTAATAGCTAATACGTAAAAGAGCCATCTAGTTTTACGCTAATCCCTCCCACAAACTGACGCATACACCAGTTTTCCTACTGTTACTATTTTTTTAAATCTACAGTGCAGCTTACAACCAGACACAACCTGATGTTAAAATCTGACTTTTAATCTGCATTGCAAAAACATCTGCCTGTATGGTTGACTTTAATCCTTCCACCACAATCTGCTGGTAATACTTACAACTAAAAAAATATGGGTCTTCATTGTTATATCCTTACAACCACGCTCAGGTAAATGCTACTGCTTTTACATTTACACAGTATGTCCAGTTTGGTTGAGAACGAGAACAGTCAATCAAGTCCACGTCAGGGTCAGTTTCTGAGGATGGAGACAGTGCTATAGGATACACCAAGCTGTCACTGAACCTGTTGACTTGACAGACTTTTAGTTCTACTTTTACTATGATACTACTGCGACCACTGTATATATATATATAACACAAAGACTTTTCACGGCTCATATGTGACATTCTTTGGTCACCACAATTCCATGGTGCTCATTTGAATTACAAATCCCAGCTGCCTGGAGGTCACTTGTTTAAATGTCTACTGTGGCTAGAAAACGTGGTAATTTGGTTGGCTTTAATTTGGAGCATTCATATCATGTTTTTCTTTGTTTGAAAGTGATCAATTCTTCATCATAATGCACATTTCTAATGCAATGAAATACATTTATAGATATAGATGCAGTGACATGAGCAATGGAGCTGTAATCATGACTACTGTGAAATTACCAGACCTTAGATATTCTACATTTTCCAGTCCTAGCTGCTGATTAGATTGTGATCTTCCAAACAGTGGACTGAGGTGAAGTGGAATGTGAAAACAGCCGCATTCACAACCAGACATAGGCAGGATGTAGTTTAACTGATGCCAGGCATGTTCACAACCAGACTAACTTAGGCAGGGATAGGTCTAACCGTTGTTTTCAGGCAACAAGATGCCACTGGGACCCGTTATTGTTATTATTTTTTCTAACCAGGGATCCAATGTAAGGGAATGTTGTGGTTATATGACACCAACTATTTCAAGTGTATGTCATTCCAGATGTGAACAGAACCACTGTTTTCATATACCACTGTTACTTGATAGATCATACTGATAAAAATTTTAAGTAGAATTCACCTTTGGCAATGGACAAAGAAAATGTACCAGAACATGGACCAAGACTAGCATCTATGAGGCAAATAATTTCAAAATCAATCTCTAAATGTAGTAAAACCTTGAAAAGGATGCTAAAGCAGCACATCTTCAACACAACTAACCCAGGGGCGGATTTAGGCCGTCTTCTGGGTCTTCTGGAAGACGGTCAGATTTTCAAGTTTACATTGTCAGCCATTTAATGTTTTCTGTCGGAAGACGGTCAAAAATGGAAGATGGATCAACAAAGATAATTTGGAAGACTGTCAGAAAATATCTCTGGATCCGCCCCTGTAACCTGTGCATTTTACAGAGAAGAGGAAAAAATTTCCAAAAACCATTAACATTCAGTAACATCCTCATCTATAATTCATTCACTTTATGTCCTTACATTACAAGGACGTAACCCTAAAACAAGAAATTGTCTTCTATTTATGGATGCCATTATCCTCATGCAAGGCATGGCAGGGGAAAATCTTGAAACATTTGCATCCATTGGTTGCAGTTGTGGGCAGACCATTGCTTTGTGCACCTGGATATTGGAGGGGAAATTATGACGCAGTTAACTTTTATGATGACGGCGGTAAGAAAATAAATTCCCCCTCATTTTTGTGGTTGCTGGAAAAATTTGTCGCAGCATGCAAATTCCAGGGTAGCTCACTTTAAATGGACACAAGGTTTACATGGTGGCTGCTTTGGAACATTCTAGTTCGAACAACTTTTGACTTTAGTTTTGTCAGATTAACCTTTTTTGTTAATTTTTTTTACATTTGATTTTTATTCTACGAAATAAACTAATGAGGAATCATTCTATTATTTTGTTTTTCCTCAAGACAAATATGTCATGATGAAAGTATATTACAACATGGCAAGTTAAACAGTAATCAAAATTGTAAATTCTTTCAGGAAAATAGAGCTTAGCACACAATAAATTAATAAATAATAAGCAAAATGCACCCAACTATACAAAAACAATGTATTTTCACTCCAATCATATGATAAAAAATTTCACAAGTAAATAAATGAAACAGGAGTGAATCCTTAATTTAGAACTATTTAATTTTCTAGTCTTGGTAACTAAAAACTGTCAAAAAAGGAAAGGTTAAACATCTATATATTCTGGCCACACAAATAAATATATATGTCTTGCAGATAAAAACAATCATAAAGTGAGAAAACAGTGAAAGGGAAGCTGATCTCAAGTAAAAAAGGAGAAGGGGATAGAATGGAAGAGGGGAGGGGCTTCTGATTTTTGGCCTGGAAGGGGGAGGGGTAGACTTTTGATATTTGGGCTTTGGACTGAGAGGCTTACCTGCAGACTTTGGTGAAAACTTGTCCCTGTGGGCAGCACATACTGCCAATAACCTGTAGCCAAGGTCAAGGTCATAACCTGGCTGTGCCGCAACTCTGCTAACAACCTGAAAGATACAAATTACAAATAGCCAATATAACCCTTGTATCTTTTTTATTACCACTTTATGTGGTTTAAGCATTAATTGATACGATGATATTAACCAACTGGCAGTCAGTTAGACAAGTGGGCTAGATCATGCCTTGCGTGTACGGTAGGCACTCTGATCACAACCAATGAATAACCAATAAACATTTGCTGAGCACGAGTCACATCCTGATGAACACAGTGAGATTGAACTTATGGCAGTGTGGCAGAGTGATAAGCAGGGTTAAAATACAAGACAAGACAAAACTGAAGTCTTAATCTGCCAATAATGCTGACCCCACTCTCTCCCAAACCTCATGAAATCTTGTTCAATTTTAGGGAAAAACAGTGAGACTTTGGCACTCTCGAATGACTCCCGTTACAATATCCTGTTAGCACACACCATCACAACTGTACTGGAAATGGGCCTGAAGCCAATCATTAATTTCAGAATAAAAAATTAACAAAACCTCATTCAGGGTTACAGCGAAACCTGATTAATGGTTAATATTGACAACAAGATAAGACTCTGCCAAAAAGCTGTTGGATTCCAGCCTGAATGTCCTTAAAACTGTGTGCCAGACTCACTGGAAAAATGCCAGCAGTTTATATTTATTTGCTGTCATCAATATCTGTTGAGCACATCTTAATTCTTCTCAGGTTATATTTAATGGTATTTTGCCATGATGCTATAGCTAATTTTAATTGTTTAATAAAAATCCCCCTAATTCACAGGTACATTTTGGCATTACTTCCTTCTAACAATAAAATACATAATATTTAAACACACTAACTGCTGTGATAAATTTTGGTATTGCTTATTACAATTACATGTAATGTCCCATTCTACATGTATAGGAGGTTAATATTAAAGGGATAATAACTCTTCATTTTGGCCAAAAAATGAATTTTCCTGGGGTCAAAAACAATTTTCCCATACTTACCAAAGGTTAATGAATCCATTTTTACATTCAAAGTTAGTCCCTCGTTTTTTTCTAAAAAGTTTGGTTTTTTGTTAAAATCTCTTAAGAGATTATAACAGAGTAGAGCCATCAATGGAGGTCACGTGGTCTGAAGACAAGCTCAGATATCAGAATAATAGCTATAACTGCCGTTTTTGTCGTAAAACAGAACATATTATATTTCTTTGAGTTATTCACAATGTTTTTATTGTGAAATATAGACCTCATATGAAGACTTATTATCCCTTTAAATTAACATCAAATTAACAGGAAGACATATCTGGAAAAAACAGTAAAAATACTCAAAGGAGTTTTTAAATATCTAATTCAACCTCCCTTTATTTTGTTGGCACCACAGAGTTAAAATTCCCAAGTGAACAAACAAGTGCAGAGAAAAGTCATTCACCAACTGCACATAACTCCTTGTATTTCTATCAAAACAAAATAAATTCCAACTAAACTAGTTCTAGGAATTACGCAAATTTATGGGATGGCAACTTTGTAAACCTTGGCTAAGACCCAATGCAGAACACATTCTTCCTGAACTGATACTGGAGGAGATTGTGGCAGTTGAGATTTCTATGAGGCAACCAACACAATCTCTTTACACACCTACACCATCCATTATAAAGTACTTGTTTTAACATTTTTTCTTACTTAATTCGCATGTCTTGGTTATCTCTGCTTGAAATGAAAAAGGCATGTGTCATGGTTATATAATCTTCATCATGACATGCAAGGGAAAATTCTTCTCTAATCGAACAAAGAGATGTTCGTGATTGCATTTAATTCTTCTGCGGCAGTACGTGAGCAAGGTGGTTGACTATAAATTCACAATAGTCTTAACAGTTTGCACTTCATGAGAATATGATATGCCACAAGGTGAATAATATCAGACTGATTTATAGGGGGAATTACCTTCCACAAATCATCCCCCTAGACTATGTGTCAGATGGGGCCAAGTGACTGGGAATGCTTTGGAATTTTTCTCTCTCTCTCTCAGCATCCAACAGACTAATGAGTAATGAATTTCAGCTGGGTAAAACGCTTTATATGGTTGTAAAAAAAGTGAAAAGAAACATCATTGCTTCTTTATGGATCATCATTTCAGTAAAAAAATTCTTGAATATTTCCACTTCTATCAGGATCCTTTTGGTTTCTTTCTAGTATGCACAGTTGATGTCAACTTGTTGGAAAAGACTTCATATGAAAACCAAACATTCTTAAAAATATGAACTAAAACAACACAAGAGCCCAACACTTGCTTTTTCCAATTATTTTTTGTCTTTTTGTTCAACAAATGAGAATTTCTTTAACATACTAGCTTTTTCCTAAATTTTTTTGTCTTCTTGTTCAACAAATGGGAAGTTCTTAAAAATCTAATTGAAGGTACCACAGCCGCCACCAGGAGTCGCCACCTTCCACCCCTTCTGACCATAAATCAAAAGTCAGGTATGATTTTGGTAAACAAGGTTATCAATTAATTACCGTTGAGCAGTAAAAGCCAGGTTGTTTTGTTGCTGTGTGCATTGCATGTGGGTTTCAAGACAGGTAGAGAATTCACTGGTAATTTTCCCACCAGACTGTTACGATAGCCTGATCATCTCCATGCTACCACCTTTGAAATAAATCAACATCTCTCAACTATGTTGTTTGGCTGCAGCAACCTGGCTACAATCATAAAGCCATTCATCATGTCACTCCACGGCTAAGTGCCGCAAACACCAGCGTTATCTGCTCCCCTCTGATTCAATTAAGAAGGTAAACCGATTTGCTTAACATGTGTAGGATGATCTTTCTCTCTGTCTTTCTCTCTCTCTCCATACTCCCACTTTCATATACCACAGTCTCTGATCTCCTTTGATTTGCTGTGAATATTTCCCAATTAACCATCCTGTTGGTTTGCATTGATCAGCTAGAACTCCCCAGACACCGTGACTTCAACATGAAATCACCGTCTCCTAGGTGTTCAAGTCAGACCAGTTATATTTGGTCCCAGAATCTAGTTCTACCTGTGCTGGGAATAGCTCAGTGCCGGGGTCCATCTCAAGAAATATTTATTGATTTTTGACCATACCATTTTTGGGGAAATACTCTTTAGTTCTGACTAAAGCTGGGGTGATTTTTTTTTGTTGCTAAGAGTAGATTTTCAGGGCAAAATCATGGGCACATTTTTTTCTTGTTTTTTTTTATGTCAGCTTTGTGTAGAACCAAGTTTATACAAAATATTTTGTGCATTAAATGTTTTTTCTTCAGTTTTACTATCTGCTTCATCATAATAAGACATCTGGCAGAGTTAAAAAAAATACACTTGCAGGAAGTTCAGATTAAGCAAAAGTTGCCAAAAAAATACAGACAGAGCACTAAACTTTCCAGAAACCTCTGACTGAAAATTGCCTTAGTTGGATACTCAAGATATGTAAAAAAAAAAAAAAAAACAACTTTGCTAGGAAACTAAGAAAAATTGCTGTGAAGCCTCTCACAACAATTTCCTTCAAAAACTCTCCAAGCCAGAGATCCAGAGTTTCCAGCAGGATCTCGCTGTGCTCTCGGAGGTATGTAGTAAGAATGAGCCGAGGCCAAGAAACGGCATACCTAGCCCTAGTTACCTGATTGGTAACAGATGGGAGAAAGATGCGCTATGTAAACATCCAGAGTCAGTCCTATGAAGAGAGAGAGAAAAAAAAAAAGAAACTTCTGGGCTCTAAATACAAGCATAGGCCAGCCAGCTGTGAAGTTACTTAGGTGGGCTGTTGTGGTTTTGTTTTGCCCAAATATTGAATATTTGATCAATTTTTTGATGAGGGTTCATGCAAATGGTGCTTTGTGTTTCTGTTCAGAAGTTTGTGCATGCTTGTGTTCGCACGTGTCAGTGCATGAGTATATGCATACGAGTGCAAGAACATATTCTTCTTTTTCCAAGATTTAAAATAAAAAACAATTCAGCTGAAATCAATATCTGATTTTCAAAAACAATGTATATCAAATCTCCTCACGCATTAAGAAAAGTAGTGTCAGTAACTGAATAGATTGGATTGTTTTTCGCTTTGCTACGCATAAGCAACATTTTCTCAGAGATTTGATTTGCAAATGCTTTTAAACAGCAGGAAGGAAAGGGATGGGCGCAAGCAGATCGAACAACTGCATATCAGCAGAAAAAACAGTGTCAACTAACAGCATCAGGACACAATATTTCAATTACTTAATCAGCAATAATCATTAAGAGCCTCAGAGATGCATCTAATATGGCTCTTTTACACAGCCTCATGCCCACAGGCCTTTAATCTAATCTATGTAATTGCTATGCAGAGTGGGTAACCTATGTAACTGGAACCATCTCTACTGTCCATGAATATTTACTACCTGCTTCTACAGCACAGGGCATCTGTACACCAGTGTAGTTTTGATTCAGGTGAAACATTACCAGTATTACACTGTCCCCCCATAAATAAATCATCCCCAGCTCCTGAAGACTTTAATAGCCCATTTAATCGCAAGACTACGGCATCTTTTTTACATTTGTCTGCACTCACCGCTGTGAAATACAGATCAAGGAAATACAATATTCATCGTTTGGGGATTATTTTAAGGTTAAGCACCACAAATAATTTTTGTGCCAGTCAAGTATGAAACCTGTACCCCTCCAACAGTATGGGGGCATCCCAGGGCCTGGGCTGGGGTGACAGCCACACCGGGATTTATGCCAGTTGGAGAAAGGTACAAAACAATTAAATAACATTCCACGCTTTTTAGAGCTAAAACCATTCCAATTTTACTTTATTGACAGGTGTGTGTGTGTGTGTGTGTGTGCGTGCGTGCGTGCGTGCGTGCGTGCATGCACCAGAATACATTTTCACGATGAATCTCAAGTTAAAGGCATAAAAGTGAAAATTAAAGGTGTAAATACTGCATGAACTATATTTTGATCATGTATTAGCATCCATGACCAATGTCAGCTTCACTCAGTTCCTTCAATTAGACCTCTATATTGAACCAATACCATAATCACTTTTGAAATTAGTAAAATCCATTAACATCTCTCAACATAGTGCATTTTTTTTTTCTATAAAACTTTATGGTTTGGTTAAATGCTTTAAACATATCATATTCAAGTCATTTCAAGGTTATCAAACATAAATCTTCCTTTGTTATGATAATAAAATTAGAGCATTATGTGTTTCACCAAACTGATTGTCTGTTGGGGTAAGTTATGATATTTCCCTTTTAAATATTCCTGGTGGTAAACTAAGGTTAACAATTCCTACTCCTCCTCCTGTGGAAATATCAGGAAATGGGAGGGTCAATAACAAATTGAAATTCCTACGGTTCATTTATACCATTTAGAGAGGGAAACAACAGCTTAAATATTGATTCACAGAATAATCATGAAATAATAATATCTGTGCCATCTAATATCATAAAATCTGCAAAACTTATTTGCCAAACTGACATAATAATACGATCGATAGTATCTTGTAAAGCTATAAAAATGTGAAATATCTGCAAAAGGCACTCTATGGCTATGTGTGACTTACCAAAATGCAACTACCAATATACACTGTAAACATCTTTTCAATATACCATCATAATTTTTTAGGTTATTAACTTTTTACGTGGCACTTAGCCTCTAAAATAAACTATGGTAAAAAGATGAGAAAACTCACCGTCAAGCAGCCCATAAGGCCTTGTTCAAATGCTCGTTGGAATGCACGTGCATCAGAGCACCACTCTAGAAGTTCGCGAGCAGCGTTCTGAAAGCCTGCTGGATTGGCAAGGTGCTACGAGAAACAAAAAAAAGAGGAGAAACATGATAGAAATGTTGTGGTAAGAACTGCAACAAATTCATGTAGACATTGCTTAATTACAATTTCACAATGCACCTTGTGAAGGTTTACAGGGCTGAAATACATTACAGCTGCAGAACTTTTGATTTTCACCTGATTTACACCAGAAGTGAATGTCTAAATTGTACAGAATATATGTGGATATGTGAAGAGTACTAGCCTCAAGTCTGAACAACACTCTGTGACTCTTATCAGATTAGGATTGACTCTTTCTCCTTTTTTGTCAAATTTCTCAGTGTTTTGTTGAAAGATACAGTTATCAAAACCTCCAAGTATTCCGTGTCCTATTAGTTTCTCCTAAATGTCCTACACACTCCTTCTTTCTTAATCAACTCCACAATGATTGGTTTCAATCATGATGCTTTTTTACACTTGAAATGGGACTCGCCTACATATTTATGGCTGAAGTAATCATCTTGATTTTCTGACAAACTGCTTCTCGTTGCCATTTGCAGTGGAGCTGGTTCAACCTTCATAGCACAAAACCCTCCCAAACAAGTTTCTCTCATTTTGCCCACCCACTTTTATGATATTATCAAATCAACTTAAAACTGCATAAATGACAAAAGAAAGACATCACGGAATGTAGGTTTGGTGAAGTCTGCCATGGGCAATTCATAAAAGGAGAGAAGACTCATCAGCAAGTGTTCACTATGGACCATCACAGTTGTTTAGAGTTTAAATTTGATAGACAATTATTTACAGCAGCACACTTTAAGAAATGGTTTGTAAGTTTATGTACAAACACAGTACAATATGGCATGATAACAATACTTGTAAAACATTATTAAAATATTAATGTAAGTGGATTTTGTGTACATATGAGAGAGAGAGAGAGAGAAAGAGAGAGAGAGAGAGAAACATACCGTTTTTATGCACTGTAGTCTGTCATTGGTCTGTTGAATATGTCTGTCCATCTCATTCATGGTGGTGAGTGTGTGCGGGTGCAGGAACACTCACACTGGGATGCCACGGACACACCCAAACTAGAATGAAACAACAAGAATACTTAACCAGAGGAATACTTAACCATTTTAAATTGTGATAAACATGTTTCTAAATAAATCTTATATGGAAATTGTACTGTGTCAACTGGCAATCACAAAATCAGTCTAAAAACTGAAAATAAACAGGCGATCAGAGTGATTTACAATATAAGAAGAATACAGCAAGTAAAATTTTACTTAACGAGGTATAAAAGAATAACAAAAAATGTGCAAATATAATCAATCTGCAAACCACTGCACACTTAATCCCTTGATACCAAATATAGTGCATGTTGTGTACCACATATTAGCTTAATCCATTCCTCTATCACCTATAGCCCACACATACACATTGTCACTTTACTTGTGAATAGTAAGTACACACACAGTAATAATAGAAATACCTATCATATGGCCTAGAGATAACCCAACTGTTACAACTTCACAACACGACTAGCAATAATAATTTGAGTAAACATATTGTTGGCCGCACCCTATAAATCATTCAAGTCCAATTTTCTCTGAATCCTTCCAAGTGAGTAGTGCACAGTAAATTTACAATGTTGCTAAACCTCTAACATTACTAGAACACATAACATACATTACATGGGCTTGTTTTAACCTCAGTCAGGCACACACCACCAGGTAAAAGCTCAGCTACCAGACTAGTACAGCCAGTTTTGTTTCAGTGTTTTGTTTTCGAGCTCAGGGGACTGGAGTTAAAGTTAAATGTGTTTAGACATATATCCCAAGTAAGTGGAATGATAACGGGGCCTCCATGTAACCAGGTAGCTCAGCTCCCCATAAATAGTGTGGGTTCAAATTGTCTCACCATCCCCCTCTCCATCTTATGACAGTTCTAGGAGGAGAGATAATAGACTGAAACAACTTTCATAACTAGTTCCAAGCAATCCAGGTAAATATTCTGAAGGCAATAAACACTGATAGCACATACACTAACAGGAAGCTGAACACAAAAGCACAGTTTCCAAAGGTAAATACAACTTCAGCAAAGTCAGCCTTGGCAGTGATGAATTCAGTGATGTCCATCTTTGCACAATCATCCATGTTATTTCCCTCCTTTGTGTTATCATCCCACCTGAACGTAACACAACCACCCACAGTAGAAAGAGAGGAATTACTCTTATGTGTCAACCTCCATAAAACCACCTCTCCATGGTATCTGAGATGTTCTTCCTCAAATACAGCACATAACTGCATGATCACAACAATAGTCAGTAGTGTTAAGACAGTTCATTTTCATATGACACCTTTCTGTAAGATGTCTGAGATACAATATGCATCCTACATGTCAAGCAACTTTGAATGTTAACTGTTCTCTAAATTAAAAACACTAATGTTGCCTTTTCTTTAAAGTCTAATTGGGTTACCAGAAACTTTCCTCCCACTAAATAATCTAATAGCACCCATATGAAGCAAATAACATTAAAACTTGACTGGCAAAATATAAATAAAAATAAATTAAACACAAAAAAATTGCCCCTTCTTGTTTGGAGCATTGAGCCTACCTTCATATTAACAGATCAAGGAGCTATACACCCTAGTATAACNAAAACTTTGCTAGGAAACTAAGAAAAATTGCTGTGAAGCCTCTCACAACAATTTCCTTCAAAAACTCTCCAAGCCAGAGATCCAGAGTTTCCAGCAGGATCTCGCTGTGCTCTCGGAGGTATGTAGTAAGAATGAGCCGAGGCCAAGGAACGGCATACCTAGCCCTAGTTACCTGATTGGTAACAGATGGGAGAAAGATGCGCTATGTAAACATCCAGAGTCAGTCCTATGAAGAGAGAGAGAAAAAAAAAGAAACTTCTGGGCTCTAAATACAAGCATAGGCCAGCCAGCTGTGAAGTTACTTAGGTGGGCTGTTGTGGTTTTGTTTTGCCCAAATATTGAATATTTGATCAAGTTTTTGATGAGGGCTGATGCAAATGGCGCTTTGTGTATCTGTTCAGAAGTTTGTGCATGCGTGTGTTTGCACGTGTCAGTGCATGAGTATATGCATACAAGTGCAAGAACATATTCTTCTTTTTCCAAGATTTAAAATAAAAATCAATTCAGCTGAAATCAATATCTGATTTTCAAAAACAATGTATATCAAATCTCCTCACGCATTAAGAAAAGTAGTGTCAGTAACTGAATAGATTGGATTGTTTTTCGCTTTGCTACGCATAAGCAACATTTTCTCCGAGATTTGATTTGCAAATGCTTTTAAACAGCAGGAAGGAAAAGGATGGGCGCAAGCAGATCGAACAACTGCATATCAGCAGAAAAAACAGTGTCAACTAACAGCATCAGGACACAATATTTCAATTACTTAATCAGCAATAATCATTAAGAGCCTCAGAGATGCATCTAATATGGCTCTTTTACACAGCCTCATGCCCACAGGCCTTTAATCTAATCTATGTAATTGCTATGCAGAGTGGGTAACCTATGTAACTGGAACCATCTCTACTGTCCATGAATATTTACTACCTGCTTCTACAGCACAGGGCATCTGTACACCAGTGTAGTTCTGATTCAGGTGAAACATTACCAGTATTACACTGTCCCCCCATAAATAAATCATCCCCAGCTCCTGAAGACTTTAATAGCCCATTTAATCGCAAGACTACGGCATCTTTTTTACATTTGTCTGCACTCACCGCTGTGAAATACAGATCAAGGAAATACAATATTCATCGTTTGGGGATTATTTTAAAGTTAAGCACCACAAATAATTTTTGTGCCAGTCAAGTATGAAACCTGTACCCCTCCAACAGTATGGGGGCGTCCCAGGGCCTGTGCTGGGGTGACAGCCACACCGGGATTTATGCCAGTTGGAGAAAGGTACAAAACAATTAAATAACATTCCACACTTTTTAGAGCTAAAACCATTCCAATTTTACTTTATTGACGGGGGGGGGGGGGTGTGTGTGTGTGTGTGTGTGTGTGTGTGTGTGTGTGTGTGTGTGTGTGTGTGTGTGTGTGTGC